ATGACTATATACATAGAGGATATATAGCATGTTATCAGTTTTTATACAACTGTCAATAATGTTTTATAATAAGAATATATTTTTAGCTACTCCAACTTTTTATGAAAATTTTCAGATACAGCAAATTTAAAGAAGTTTACAGGTTAATGCCTGAATAGCCAGACCTAGATTCTATCATTAACATTCTACTATACTTGTTTCATCACATATCTATCAATCCATCAATACATCTTGATTTTTGATGCTCTACTTTTTAAATTCCTATTAAAATGTTATCTAAATGCAGTTTCTGAAGCAAGGTCTGATGGATACACTCAATATGTGTAATAGACATGACAAGCACATGGGGCTCTTGGCAGGCAGTCTTTAGTGTTGCTATAGAACAAAAGTCAGTCATTGTAGTTTCCTTTAAAATTCATGGTACGAAAATATATTCAATGTTATGACGTGTTATATTAAGTTGTCAGCTGTAGCAAAGTAGTTAAGCACTAACTGAAGACCAACAGACTTGAGTTTGAAAACAAGATACTGAGCATGCTTCTTACTTGCCAAATAAGATAATTAGCAGCAATATCAACGAGCTAATGTAAGGTTTAAATGAGATGATGTATAAAATGTTTAGCACACTGCTGGCTTTTTGAAAGGTCTCAACAAAAGTTAGTACTATCATATTATTGTATTAGTCCACTCAACCTACAACAATAGGTTGTAACTGCTATACATACCTATGCTACTGTCTGTGGCCTTTTTTTCATCACCTATGCATTCTAATAATCTTGGGAAGTCTATTTTACTGAGATTAAAGACAGAATGAGGGTGAATGGGTCCAAAGCAAATGCATTCTCCATTTTCCCAATCCATTCCCTAAAAGAAATAGATGCCCTTTCTCTTACCCAAGGCAGTGGTGGTGTACACATTAAAAACATACATCTTTTGCTTTTCAGCACCTGGGTGATAGGCAGCTGATAAACTGACTAAATGTGCTCTGTCTACTTTAGACAACCATTGCACCCTCTTTGGAACATAATTTCTATCAAATTTTGTCAATCCAAACAAAATGTGCTGTCTTCACTGATATCCAAATACCGTTTATATTTGCAGCTAGCATATGTATGTCAGTTTTGTTGTGTGGCATACAAGTACAAGTAGATGGATTCATAAAAGTTCTACCAACTACATGCCTCTTTAAAGAAATGATACTTAAGAAAAACTTACAAAAGCAAGCTTGAAATCTGCTTCTCTAAAGATCGGTCTTAGTGCTTTCTCTTTGCCAGAGGAATCAGAATCTAATTGAAAAATTTAAAAGTCGTATTCCTATATCGCTTCAATAAACATGTCTACTGCTGATCTTTCTGCAATTAAGATATATGAGAATACATTAACTATTAAAAGGTATGGCAAAGGTAAAGAATACTTCACCTTACAAACTAATTTGGGTGAGGTTTCTTTAAGCATACTTTTAAAACATTTTTTGACTTTGAACCATGTATATATTTTACATATTCAAAAATAAAATTTAAAAAAATCCTAAAATAAAAAATGAAACCAATGAACCGTATCAAATTGGTAGCATATCTAAACAGAGAAAAGTATTTCAACTGACTTCTGAATACAGTAAGTACTCTGTACATCCTTCATGTAATATAGTCTAAAGACAAAAATGCAAAAAAAATCTTAAATTTTATTCAGAAGTTGTCAGTAATATTGTACGGTAATTTTGAAATATTTTATATATACATAGTAGGATAAAGTATTTCATTCTATTAGGCACTAATATTTTCATCTAAGACAAAAGAGATCATCATAGAAGATAAGGTGAAGTCTGCTATGTCAAATTTGAGCTGAATATATCACTATGAACTTATGATTAAGCAAACAAATAAGAAAAACAGTTTTAGCTCTTTCCTCAGAAAGGTCCTAAAAGCAATGAATGACACTCCAGCGGCAATGAATATGCTAAACACCCAGAACTTGGTTTCCACATACCATTTTTCATGAAAAGAACCAAGACTCCTTAAAACAGCCTATTCCAGATTTATAACAAAGAGAGCACAAAGGCAAGCCTGGGATAATTTGTGCCAAAACAGTACTCTAAGACTAAATGGAGAGTAGAAGTGTTAAAAAGACACAGAAGCCAGCTTGAAAGGGGCTCTACTGTCCATATTTGAGACAATTTCATCACCAAAAAGAAAAACGACTGTAGTGGTTATAAAAAAATGAACAAACTGGGGCTGGCCGAGTGGTGCGTTGGTTAAGAGCTGGCTTGGGACGCCAGCTCTGAGCAGCAGGGCCCCAGTTCGGATCCCACATGAGGGCCAGTGACACTGCCCTCTACAGCTAAGATGCTGAACAACAGCTCGACCTGGAGCTGGGCTGCCGTGAGTCGCCGGCCACAGCGAAGGCTGCAGTCCCTGCTGCAGTGGGCTGCCATAAGCTACCGTGTGTGGCCAGCAGCCGGTGTGAGCTGCCGTGAGCAGCCGAAAAATGGCTGGCGAGCGACTGCCTCACACGGGAAGAGCACAATGATAATACCAACATGGACCAGTGAAGCGACGTCCTCCACAACTAGACTGAAGAACAAAAAGGACAGCAACTTGTCTGTTCCCCTCCGCCAATTCCCCAATAAAATCTTAAAAAAAAAACACTAAAACTCACGAGCCCATAGTTGTATCCCCATGAAAAAGAAAAAAAATCTCACTTGCCACCATTGGAGGTGCTATTTCCCCAGTTCTTTACTCTGAATATGAATTGATAATTGAAGAGAAGAAATTAAAGATTTACTTTGCATTTCTAGGAGGAACTTTAGTTCACTCCTAGTTAATGAAGAAAAATCTTCCCTACAGAAAATATATAATAAAATAACTGATATAGAGTCATCTATGGGTGCTAAAATCACTAAGCAAAAAGGTCGTGAGAAACAGGGAATTTACTTGGTGTTAAAGTACTACCCCAAGATTACATACAAATCATGAACAGGCAAACCACATCTCTGTAATACATCTGCTAGCCACCACTTTAATCAAGTGGTCATATTTAGCATCATTAATAGTGTAGCAAGCTGACATTATGTACCTCCTATACGAAGTACATAGCATCACCTAATAAATATTCTTTCCAAAGACAGTTTAAGCTAATCAAGGTTTTCTTTAGACCTATCCTCCAGTACAGGAAATTCAGGGGGATAAAGGAATACATTAAATGACACTTGGGGAAACAGACAAGTCCAGAATGTGGAAGCATTCTATAAGACAACTAGTTTGATCAATTGTCAGAAAAAAAGGATGGGTACTTTTTTTTTTTTTTTTAAAGGGACTAAAGGCATAATCACCAAATGCAATGCATGAATCTTGACTGAATACAGCTGGGGGGGTGGGTAGGCTTTTCCAAAGAGACTTTGGAATACTGAGGAAATTTGCATATGTTGATAATTGGGGTTAGAAGGAGAACGTGCTTATTTTTAGGAAATGCATGCTGAAATATGTGAGTGTCATAATGTTTGCAACTTAACTTTCAAATGGTTAAACACAAAGACACATACAGAATGGGATAAGAGAGGAGGAAAATTATGGCAAGAATGTTTCTCACTGAATCTAGGTAGTGGAGTATTCATTGTGTTTTTTCCTTAACTTCCATAAGACTGAAATTTTTCATGATAAAAATTTTTTAAAGTGTACCTGTACTGAGAGGTCCAGTAGAAAATACAGCTACACTGGAATTATATCTAGGTACAAATCTCACCTCCATTACTTAACTAGCTGTGTGGCCTACGGCAAGTTACTTAGTATCACTTAAATTTTTGTCTCATCTACAAAATTCAAGTAACAATATCTAACTCATTGGGTTGTTCTGAGAATTAAATAAGATCATATGTAAATGCCTACCAGTGTTATACAAAATAAGTAAATCTGATTTTCATAATTAATGCAATCATCCTAAAATACAAGAGTATAGGCAAACATTCCTTTCCTTATTTTCACATTCATAAGGAAACTACATTAGGTAAAATTAAATACCCATTGGCAGTCAACGTGAAATAATGGGAGAAATGAAGATTTATACAATATCTTTTAAATCATAATTCCAATTGAAACCCTAGTCAAAAGGAAACCATAAAAATCTCTACCTATCCAAACTGTTTGCCATCTATCCAATTGTGAAGTTTGCTTTAGCTATTGGCCTATATCCTGGTAAAACAGTTAAGAAAATAAGTGGAAGTTAAAGAGAATTATTTCCTGACCACAACAGATCTACTTATGTACCTATATGTTGAACAACTTAAAAAAATGCTTTGCCTTCATTTTTATAAGTTCTAATGAAGTACACAATTATTGGGCTTTATTCTAAATTCTGGTTAAGATTCATATAACTCACAAGGATGTAATTTCCTTTTCTCAGTTCTAACATAGTTGTCATATCACTTCACGTAACCCCTTTTTCTGGTTAGGCCAGCAGAAAATTGTCTAGATGCTGAGTGATCCTCGGGTAGGGAAGAAAAAGAGGTGATTGTATTATTATTATTGTTGTTGTCATTATTATTATTATTATTATTATTATTATTTTAATTAGTGCCGTCCTTTTCTTTCCAGTACCAGAGAAAAAGCAGCAGGGCAGTAGAGGGAAAAGAAGTCAGGTCTCGGGCTCCCCGGCTCGCCCAGGTGAGAGGTGGTGGACACCTCTGCCTTCCTTGGGTTAGGGTGTTGGGCAAATGGGCGTGCAAATGACGGGCAGCACCCTGGAAGATCCGGAGAATTTCTCCTGAACTGCGGGGCCCAAGGCCAGTCTCCTCCCCGAAGCATTAAATGCCACTGAGGGGACCCTGTGGGGTGTCTCCCGGAGCGGATGGGGGTGACCAGACCAGGCTTTCCGTCCAGCGCCCAGATGGGGGACGCGCAGTGTCAGCCCCTGGGCGGGCGCACCCCGAGGGTACGCGCGGCGAGCGGCGGCTGGCCACTGCCCCCCGCTCCGGCCGGGCGGCCCGTTCGCCCTCCCCTTCCCATTACCTGCGGGCGGCGGTGCCGGGGCCCGGAGGCCTGGTGCTCCTCCTCCTCCGCCCCGCCAGGCTGAGGCGGCGAGGTGGCGGCGGCGGCGGCGGCGACAGCCCGGGGGGAGGGGGCGGAGCGCGCAGCTCGCTGCCTCTCTCCTCCCCCGGGAGACTGAGGGGACCCTATCTCGGGCCGCTGCGCCTAGGCCCGTGGGCAGCCCGTGGCTGGGGCATGGCGGCACACAGCAGCAGCGTGCCCGCGAGGTGGGAGAGTGTGAAGCAGCGGGAGGAGAGCGCCCGCGGCACTCGGAGGAGCCAGAGGGGAGGAGCGAGGGGACGGCCGTTGGGGGCGGTTGGCCGAAGGCAGGCAGCGGTTTAGGGAGCGCGGCGACGGCTCGCGTTTTCCCGGCGGGGCGGGGTGGGGAAGGGGAAAGGGAGTGAGGGGAGGGGAGGGGAGGTTGGGAGGGAGCCGCCGCCGCGCGCGTGCGGGCCGGCGCCGCCGCCGTTGCCGCTCCGCTCACTCCTGCCTGTTTGGGGGCACTTTGTTTGTGTCCCACAATGCTCTGGGAAGTGGGCGGGGCGGAACGAGTTCGGGGGCGGGGACACGGAGTTATTGCGCAAGTGCAGAAGGGGCCGCTCGCGGTTCTCCAGACCTGAACTGTGGGCGAGCCGTCTGGTTACGCACTCCTGGATTTCGACACTGTCTGCACCTTTGCGTATGTGCACACGTGCAGATTTACATTCACATGCTGCATAAGCTCTGCCCAACTTGTCCTACCTCCAACTGTCTCCTCAGCCAGGTCCCCGCTTGCACTGACATAAGCATTTCTGTTCATGGTTTACGCTTCTTGAATTTTTTTTTTCTTGAACTAAAAGCGAAAGAAACGCCTATTTTCTCAAGTGGTTTCTGTAACCGGACTGAAACCGGAACAACGCAGCCCCTTTCTCTCGGTGAGGGCTGTTAGCTGGTAATCCGCCCATACTACATACTTGGAAACCAAGGCAGGCCTTCGAAGAGGTGGCACCCCAGACAGGTGAGGGTTCTGCTTCCTTTGGAGACAGCCGACCCCGTTGGGTATCCCCGATTCTGTATCGCCTTTGCGCCCTCTGGCATCTCCTCAGTACCCTAGGATTGCTGTAGCATTTTCCTGGGCCACCTGGCGAGACGTGCTATTCTGAAATGACTGGAAAATCGAGTCTCAAGTCTGTTTCTTCTCCCAAAACAGGGCATCTAGAGCTGCCGCAAAAACTATGCCTATTCCTTCCACAGCCTTGAATCTCACTTTATTACACCTTCACTTAGCTAGCCTTTCATTTCAGTGCAGGGAGTGTGCGGGGCACCCCGAAGTGGCCGGTACTGTCTTGGGCAGGGGGTGGGGTGGGGTTGGTGGAGGATTAGAGTTCTTGGTCAACTGCAAAATCGTGTAGTGTTAAAATGCCCAAGACCCTAACGTCTTAGGTTCCCCAGGCGCTCCAGACCCAGACCCGGTGGTAAAGAGGGGCCCTGAAGGCAGCAGGCGGAAGCGCCCCGAGGTGAAGCCCACCTGCCATGTGCCTGGAGGTGGAGTGGGGTGCTGGCCTAGAGGGCCTCTGGCTCTCTGGATTTGCATACTTTGTTTTCTCACGCCTCCAGCTTTTAAACCGAAAGACTTCTTTGCAAAGGGCATTGTGCAAGATGAGTTGACTTCCGCTTGAAGTATTGTGGATTTTTCTGAGACACAAGCAGCCACGCACCCTAGCACCCTAATTCTAACAATTGAAATCACTTTAGAAATAAATATAATAAAAACTTCTAATTTTATAGGCCTTTTGCATTTTCCAACAAATTTTCAAGTATATATATTTAATCCTCACAGCAACTGTAATACATAGTTTTTGGTAATACATAGTTTTCCCACCATCATTTTTATAATTCCCATTTCAGAGATGAGGAAAACCAGAAAGTTGTGAGTTAGGCCCAAAAAGTTTTGTGCTGAGATTTGAAGAAGAGGAAGAAAAAGATGGAATGCTTACTCTAGGAGAGCAAGGCTCATGAAAGGGCAGGAGCTTGAAGCCTTGGTAGTGTGCACGGAAAAGGGGCCACAGTTAAACCTGACAAGCTCTGGAGACTGAAAATAAGATGACGTGAACACACACACACACACACACACACACACACACACACACACAAATTTTTTTAACTAAGTGGGCCATGGCGGGAAGTCACATCTTCAGCTTTCTCATCAAGTTAATCTGTGCCTTTTCAATGGGCCTGTTTGTTGTCTTTTTGTACCTAAGATAACATCTTTAATCCTTTTTCTTCTGGACCAGAGCTGGAAACTGCAAAATTCCTCATTATTATGCTTGTCTCCTGATTACCATCTCTACATGCTGTAAAAAGCTAACTTAGCTATCTGGCACCCACCTATGTAAAGAAAGGGAGTACCTGTCTCTCCAATTTACTTTTATCCAATCCCAGAGGTTTCCCTGCTTTGCCTTCTCCCACCCCCTTAACCTGTCACCAGTGGATTTCATGTAACCTTCCTCCTTTGATTTTATGTATAATAAATACATAAAGCTGCAAACTTTATAATAATAAAAATAATATATAAAATATATTATATATAAAATATATTATATATATAAAATAATTTATAAAAATAATAAAGCTGCAAACTGCCATTTCGTGGAGCATTTTCTCAATCCGTTGAGATTTTGCTTCCCAGCAATTGTCGACAGTTTAGCTCAAATAAACTCTTATAATTTTTTCTCTTATGCTGGATGTTTTTCATCAACAATAGGGTGTGTGTTAGTGTTATGTGCAAGGTAAAAACTGGAGAAGAATCAGGGTGAGAACAAAGTAGTATTAAAGAATAAAAATTCAAGTAAATCTGAAGGCCTAATTGGCTTTATGAAGCAATTCATGAATTGGGCAGCATCTTCTCTAGCAAGCTTTCTATAGAATATTGAAGGTTTCTATAGGCAGAAACTGGGCAGAACAAGAAAGTTATTAGCAAAAGAAAAGAAAGGATTATCTCAGGCCAGGTTACCTTCCTTTAGGGGAAGGCAGGATTGCCTCAGCTTCATTTGGGGGATGGAATGAGCCCAGGTGACAGATGACCTCAATGGTACTGACCAGAAAAACTCAGACTGACAGACTAAGATTACATTCCTGGAGAATGCTGAAAATGCAGTAAGGTCAGGTATCGAATCTAGATTTGGGGTCATGGGCTTTAACTCAAGTGATACCATTTTGGGCCTGTGTTTTTTCTCTTAAAAAAAAACAGTAGTCATATAAATTCCCTCTACCTCCCCTAGGGCATTTAATAGGACAGTCAATAAAAGACCATTAGGCAAGTCTTTACTAAGTGTTTCTCAAGGGAATGAGGTGGCTGCTCCCTTTCATGGCAAGCCTCGGCAGTGCTGATGCACAGAAAATAGCCTTCCTTAGATTGTCGTCTTCTCTCCCTTTCCCTCCCTTTTGTGCTTTTCTGTTTTTCATGTTACATTTTAAAATTTTATCATCCCGTCCCCCTCCCAGATCTGGAGACTCAATCAACAAATGGCTGTTGGACCCTCAGGACACAGTGCTAGATACTTACAGTGGATGTGAGAAATAAATACGAAGATTAACTATGTAGGAGGCCTCTTCTCTGTTTTGACTTTGGGCAGGGTCAGTTTCTATGGTTTCTGCAGCCTTCCACCTTTTTCTTCCTGGGCTAGTAGAGACTTGCTTTTGGGTTAGTGGAATACTTACACCTTTCTTTGACACTAGGTTAAATAATACTCATGGGAGGATTTTATGAAACTGGAATCCTGCACACAGGTGAAACAAACCAACGTAGGTAGTATGAGGAACCTTTAATTATTAACCTAGTATAGATGATTCTGAGGAATTCAAATTCCAGGCAACAGGGTTTTATTGCAGCCATGAACTGTTTGGGGACCAAATTCTGGCAAAAAAAGCAGGAGGTTGGGGGCTGGGGGTTGGTACAATTTCTTGTGGTGGACCATCAGAGTTTAATGGGAACTTTGTTATTTAGTCCACAACTTATTTTAGAGCAAGAATGCTTTCTACTCAACAGAAAGATCTCTAGGCTGACTTGAATAATTCCATTGGAGGAGAGCTCATTGCATAAATAATCCCTGCTCCTCATTAGATCATCCCAACAATATTAAAAAAAAAAAAAATCTTGCTCCTCCACCCCGAAACTTGCACCTCTTATAGTATTCCCATTTCACCATCCACCCGGTTGAGCAAATCAGCTTTACTACTTCACTCTATCTACTACATCTCAATTTTAATCCATCAACAAGTCCTACTGAATTTGTCCATTCGCTGCCACCATCCTAATCTAAGACACCAATGCCTTTTGCCTGGAGAATTGAAATATCACTTATCTGGTATCTTAAGTATACTCTCCCTTTTCTTCTTTCTCTACATGTTAGCCAGAGTACTAATACATAGCCATATCACACAACAATGGATTCCTTTTGTTCTTTGGATAAAAGCCCATAACTTTAGCCTGGCTTTTACAATACTACACAGTCTGGGCCCTTTCCTATCTTCAACTTCATCTCTCATTACATACTGTTTCAAGGAACATGCCAGTCACAGAATTTTGTTTTCACATCTAAAATGCCACACTCTTTACTCCAATATATACATTATTCTCTCTGTGAAAAAATACTTTATTCCTTAGCTAATTCAATCTTCAGATCATACACAAGTGTGTGTGAATATATATATATATATATAATTGAGATATAATTCATGTACCATAGAATTCACCCATTTAAAGTGTACAATTCAGTGGTTTTTAGTATATTCACAGAGTTGAGCAACCATTATCACAATAAATTTTTGAACATTATCATCACCCCAAAAAGAAACTCATACCTATTAGCAGTCACTCCAATTCTCCCCCCGCCCTCCAACTCCTCAGCCATAGGCAACCACTAATCTATCTACCTTGTCTGTCTCTACAATTTGCTGATTCTGGACATTTCATATAAATGGAATTCTCTTCTTGACCACCACTCATTCCATGCGACCTTCCTCTGGCTCCCGAGATTACATTACATCCTATGGTATACATTCTGAGAGCTCCCTGCAGATCTCTAACATTTTTCTAATTCTAATGACTCTTGTCATTCACTACTGTAATCCCAGAGCCTAGCACAATTGCTAGTACATAATCAGTATTTGATGAATGTTTAATAGATGAATGAGTCAATGATGAAATAAATGAAGGTGGAGGTCAATTTTATCAGCTAATAGAATGGCAGCTTTCCAAGACATGTGATGTCAGAGAAGAAGCTTGTGCTTCAATAAACTTCTCCATTCCTCTGCAAGATGCCAGAATATCCAAGATTAAAGTTCATCCTTTTGAGTTTTGAAGACTCTAGGTTTTAAAGATGAAACTATTGAAATACAACTCATCTTCAGAAGGGGAATTGGTGGTTTAATTTTTAAAATTTTTTAAATTCAAAGTGGAGGACAGTGGTTTAATCTCAGTGATTTGATCTTAACGCTTATATCTGCTTTCAGTCCTACCTCCCCACCAGCCACAATGCTATTTTTCTTCCCCTTCACAGGCTTCACAGCCAAACTTGTCAAAACTATTATCTGCATTCACCATTTATTTTTGCATCTTCTTTAATTTTTTAACCCTTCTAATTTGATATTCCCTTCACTCCACCAAAATGTATCTCCTTAAAGTCACCAATTATTCCTATGGTGCTGATCCAAAGGACATTTTTCACTCTCATCCTATTGGACTTTTGAGCAGCATTTGGTCTTGCTGAGCACTCCTTCCAACTGGAAGCTCTCTCTTCCCTGTCTTCCTGACATTCTTCTCACTGTGCATCCAAGGTTGAGAACTAGTGTTCATACTCCCTTCCTAGGACAGTGGTTCTCAAAATGTGGTCCCCAGACTTACAGCATCAGCATCACCTGTCAAATTTTTGAAAATGTAAAATTTTAAGTCACACCTAGACCTACTAAATCAGAAGCTCCGGAGCTGTGGCCCAGCAATTTGTGTTTGAATGAACT